TTCATGGAACATGATCTTTACTTAATATCCTAATGATTTTTAGCATAAAAGAAAAATGGATCATTTTGACCCATACAATGTATTGTTGGCTATTGCTACAAATGTAATACAAAATAAATACACACACATGCATATGTATATATATTTAAGAAAAATATGTTGTTTATATATTAAATATATTTATATATAATATAAATTCTATAAATATATACATCTAAATGCAAGTAAATATTTTCAAAATATATGCTGTATGTGTGTGTATTTATATATACATAATAAATATACAGAGTACACACACATGCATTATGTAAACAAAAACTTTTATTTTGGATGCGATTAATCGTTTGACAGCACTACTACAAATATAACCGTGCTACTTACGACTGGTTTTGTGCTCCAGGGTCACAAATGTTGTCTCCTTTACAAACCACACACTCGACAGTAACGCTCAACAGCTTCCAGATGTTCACAAACCTGTCGCTCCACGCTCCGTTCCACTCTCTCTGACCCCAAGGGTTCCTCATGCGGATCATGGAGAGCTTCTCTGATTTGAAGAACGCCAGCAGGCCGGTGCCGAGACGCACTTTACGCACATCAGTCACCGCATACGCGTGACCTTTGACCAGGCCGCAGTCTAAACGGGCTTCCATGTCCGCCTGACTCGTGGCCTAGGGAAAAGAATCCAAATATGAAAACGTGAGGCTGGGACGCGACCAGAGCTGGGTAGACTACTTACAAATTAAAAATCATTCACTGATTCCAAATTACACGACAAAAATTGTAGTTAGTAACGTAATCCCTTACATTGCACATTTTAGGTAATGTAATCAGATTACTTTTAGATTCCTTTTGACCCATCTCGTTTATTGCACTGATTTAAATAGGATAATCATGTACCATATTGATATAAAAAGAAAACGGACTAATAAAGCAACAAGCCCCGTGAAGCCGTGGTTTACAGTGAATTTATAACATCAAAGGGGCGTTGTTAGGCACGACGCGAAGCGGAACCCCCTTAGCTGTTATAAATTCACTGTAAACCA